TCTCTCTCTTTTAGTGTTACGAGACAGAAGACTCTAGGCAGTGGTCGGGACAATTTCAGGCAACGCAAAAACATGTTATAGTATAAACACCTAAGAGTCTCGTCTCTAACACCTTCTAACATGTGATAAATCATCTACAAATTCAATATAAATAACATCATTTTTCTACCTAGAGAATTTCCTTACATAAATTATGAAATAGGGAAAAAAATGTTGAAAATAAACCATAAAATTTTGTTTAGAATTTTTTCCACCTATTTTCAAAATTTACATGTGAACTCTCTGTGACTCTAGCCTAGGATAAATCTACGTGCATTCAACCCCATATCTTACCAGCATCTCGATACTCCACTCCTGTATGTATAGGGTAGTTAAGTTTAAGAATAGAAAACATAGAATTCAAACAGAATAGAGTCTATAAATATTATTATGGTAAACAAGAGAAATTAGAATCATACAGGACAATGTTTTCAAATTAGAATTAAGAATAGAAAACATAGAATTCATACAATTGTTACAGAAATACGTAATAGTTTGATTATAATAAGTACAAATTCTGTGTTTAAGCATGGACATTTTACTTTAAATGATCTAATTTTACTTAGTTCCTTAAGCTAACTGTCAATCAAATGTCACATGATTGAGAATTTCTTAATGAAATAAACTTAATAGAAACTGTAGCCAATGCTGATTGGATAAAAAAAGGTGGGTTAAGCTCTAAAGAAATGATAAAACATAAACTAACCTATCCAGAATCTCTTTCCTCCCTTCGATTCCACCATATTTCCTACATATTCATTCTGATAATAGTTCTTTACAGCAACAATCATACCTCCATATCTAAAACAATAAATTACATCATCTAAATTCAATTTTAGAAATGAAACATAAGGGAGTTTTATTTATTACAGGCAACCCTATACATTGGGCAATGGAGGCAGCTGCAATTCTTTTCTTTCAACCATCTTAGTATCTTGCAGCCAGTGGCAGAGCCAAAGGTGGAGCAGAGGGGTCAATGCTTTCTCCTCTTTCCCTCCAATCTGTGTAAGACGGAACCTAGTTGGAATGACATATCTCAAGTATTTTACTGACAGGTTGAGAGCAATATTTCATAAATGTTTATCAGGTGTATTTAGTAGGTATTTAATTACTTTCAACTATAATCCAGACTAACATCAATACAGAACTCATTTCATAAATTCTAAAAACAGTGTATAATAATGTACTTACGCCTGACAAGTGGCTTTAGCTTGGTCCCAGGGGACAGGGTCGGAGAAATATTTATAACAATTATCATCTTTTACTTCCCAGCCTGGCTGACAATCTACCTTTATCTCTCTCTATAATTACACAAAAATATCTCATTAATACAATTATATATTTACTAAACTAATTAAACAATAATCAGAATAAACTTTAATGATAGGCCTATATTATCAAGAGTTTATTATACACAACATTTTAACAAATTACATATTTCACCTAACTATAACAATATAAAATACAGTCTGAAAGGAATACAGAGTTGTCCAATCTATATATCAAATAACAATTATAATAGCTAAGTGGATTATTTGAAGGGATGTTAAGTTAAAATAAAAAAGGGAGCTGCAACTTCTTGCAGTGAAGACAATTTAATTCAGGAGATTGTCCACCATTGGAATCAAGGATAAATTCATTTTCAAATTACAGAAGTTTGTTTTGATTAACACGATCATTTATGGTTTATCTTTAAGAAGGATAGCAGAAAAAAAGAAGTTAATTGTGGTCCGATGTGTATATTCAAGGGAGGTAATTCAATTCATTCAGATGTCTTTTAGGTGACTCTAAAGGTGTAAAACCCAATCTGTCCAGTGATTTTTAAAGAATGTACATAGTTCAATCAATTTAAAAACAACAAAACACCGTGGGTCGATGATTAGGTTTAGAAAATTTGGATTTTCCTCACAAATAATGCGTCAAGGGACATAATTCTGTTTATATATTCGCTCGCTTCTTATGTGAACATTGACTGTAATTTGCAGACTAACAGAGTTGGTGAATATGGTACTTGAAATTATATAAAATATGCCTAAAAAGGGTGAAAATGTGAATTTTACCAAGAATCTAACGACAGCTATGTCAATGTTCAATGTTACTATAAATAGAGAGAGACTAGATGATGGATGTTGTTATAATTATAGTGATGTTTGTGGTAAATATTTTACAATCCGTCTCCTTAGTCTATTTGATTAATATTACGCCTTTCGCAATTTCTCTCCTTAAGATATATCATAAAAATTATACAGTATGATTCTTTATCGGTAAGATACTGTTTCTTAACGCTATGAGAGATAAAAGCTGGAATAATCTTTTTCAAGATCAATTTTGAAAGAAAGATGATCATGTGACCTGTTCTTCAAAAAATCTCACGACCAATTTCTGTCGTAGATATTGTATTTCTCACAAATTCATTTTAGGGCCCTGATTGGCTATATTCGCTGGCATACAGTCCAATCATATCGCAGCATTCCGTGATATAAGAAAGCTGGCTATGGCCAGTCTAGTTTGTTATATTTTGGTATTTTGAAGATTGGTCTGGTATGAATTCAGATATTTTATGTGAGGTATATACGTAGATCCACAGAAAGCAAGCTGGATAATAAAGACTATATCAATATAAAGTCTATAGTTATAACTGTCAGTCAACAAATCATTCTATATTTCACCCCCCGGGCAGTGTTTGATTCACTGAATATCGGGGATAGTATTCCACTAGTCATACAGTGTGTCATATATTGAATTTATCTGAGCTATTTTTATATCAGACTCGATACTGGGTCAAATATGACAAATATTTTTCATTTTTTAAATTCATTTTGAAATATACTCGACATTTACTGCATCTTTTTGTTCTGTGAGTTTATTCTTTACTGAAGAAAAAATTGTTTTATTTCATTTTGAATAATTTCATATATATTTTAAAGTTTGAAAATGGCAGATTAGAGGTTAGGGTGGTTGAAAGGTTACTATTCAACAGAAGGCACTAGAGTAAAAGCTTGAAGTTGACAGTACTTTTTTATTTAAATTCAAGAACGTGAGGTAGTACTGCAGTGAAGCTCAAAATCGATTTCTGTTTTTGCATTTAAACTAGAAAGCTTAAAATGAAATGAAATGATCGGCGTTTTACGTCCTACTTTTCTGCAACCGTAATGCTGAAAGGGGGCAGTACTGTAGTGGGGCTCAAATTTAACTAAACTTTTTAAATTTGGACTCTTAAGAGTTTAAAGATTAGAGATTAAAAATGGCTCGACAGGGTTAGTGGTTTAATATCATATCAGGTGTTATTAAAAAAACCAGGTCAAATAGTTTGGGTATCAGGTTTACCGGTTAAGTTTTATCTCTGATTTGGGTCATTTCACAGGAATTTCACCTATCCCCAGTCGTTTTAACCCCTTTTTACCAGACGACATACCATGGTAGATAACTACATAAAGGGAAGTGAAAAATTGATGGGGCTCGTTTCCCTTATTGAAATGTAGTTTTTGCTATATAGGCTATCGTATGGGAAGAAATCTAATAAAATAGATCCAAATTTCGTTTCTTTATTTATTTTCTGAAATTTGATATTGCTACAATGTAGATAAAAAATAACTGGAAAAAAACGAAATTATTCTCTAATATTGATAAGATTAGTTTAACAGGTACTCGACATAAATTTTAAAAATGTCTAATTCTGAATTATGTTGTCCTTACCTCAGATCGAATATTGATCGATTATTATTGATTATTTCTATATGGTTTAGATTATATCGCATTGTTTAACTATCAGATTTATAATACAGTCCAAGAGATCGATTTCTTACCTGATTTATATTCACAATATTCTTATTACAGAATTATCAAATATAAATACAGTCAAACTTGTACGAACAGTCTCTTGTACGACAGTCTCTTGTACGAACAGTCTCTTGTATAATAAAATGATCTGGTTTATGGAGGAACTTTGTTTAACTTTAGACAGAGGTATACCTGTATGATCAAATGGTAGGGTGGGGAAACCAGGTATGCCTAAAAATATCACTGTACAGCTTGGCCTCTCATTAAGCAACCATATTCAGCAAATTTTGTCCCCCACTCCCTCCCTTCCCCACTCTAATCCCAATCGCGCACTTAGTGTTTTACTGTTATATTTAAAGGGTGAATATAAGAAAAGACAATAGATTAGAGTTGATTTCATTGCGCATTGAGTAATGTTTATTTCATTTTCATTAAGTAATGTTTATTTCATTGAGTAATGTTTATTTCATTGAGTAATGTTTATTTCATTAAGTAATGTTTATTTCATTGAGTAATGTTTATTTCATTGAGTAGTGTTTATTTCATTAAGTAATGTTTATTTCATTGAGTAATGTTTATTTCATTAAGTAATGTTTATTTCATTGAGTAATGTTTATTTCATTGAGTAATGTTTATTTCATTGAGTAATGTTTATTTCATTGAGTAATGTTTATTTCATTGAGTAGTGTTTATTTCATTAAGTAATGTTTATTTCATTAAGTAATGTTTATTTCATTGAGTAATGTTTATTTCATTGAGTAATGTTTATTTCATTGAGTAATGTTTATTTCATTAGTAAGTTATTCATATCGAGATTAATCATTAGAATTTTATTTAACAAGATTGTAAAAGAAATAGCTATGATTAAGAAAAACTCGCAATCGAAACATTGAATTAGTCAACTTTATTTTACACAGAAATCGAATTCCAATATTTAATAATCAGTTATTGATTTCTGTCAATATAGTCTCATATAACACTATAACACTATAACACTATTCTCATGTTAAATTATTCTACTTTGGGAACGCTTTGATCCACTATAAATACAAAAGAGTTTAACATATTACACTTCAATCCTTACTGCCATTTATTTTAATGAAGTTCATCTTATATTTTCTTCGTGCGTTTAGGATATAAAGCTGTTCATCGGGATTCGATTCAGTGGCCACAATTACCTGTAATAGCTTGTATATTTCTATAAATGTTGATTATAATTTGTACCTGCCCATTGACTTCACCGAATAGATAGTGATGCTTCAATGCAAGCTGGGAATTCAGGTAATTCGGGAACAATAAATGGTGTTCGATAATGACTACCTTTCACCAATGATCTACGCGTAATGTAGGTGATAAAAATAGATCACAGACATTAAAAGACAAGTTTGGAGCAGAAATGACGTCAAATTTTCCAATTATATGCATCTGTTGATTTATTTTTTGAAAAGTTAATGATGTTGCTATAGAACCCCGGAAATACCTAACGCCTCTCTGCAACTCGACAGAACATTCATTCATTCATTCATTCATTCATTCATTCATTCTAAAAATATCCATTACTAGTGGACAAGTGTTAATTCTACCGGGAGACTACAAATCGAGTTGTAATCAGACACCGCCCTTTTTTGTTATGTTGACAATAGAATACCTGTTACACATGAATCAACAAGTTGTATAGGATGGCTGTATTGGGTTGAAACAGGTCAAATACCCTCACCAATATTTTCCCATGGTGGGTGTTGGGTATGTTTGTTTGAGGATTATCTTGGCAATGTTGATATATATATAGAGGATTTAGACACGGCTTGGGTTTTGTTACATAAAATAACTAACAAATCAACTTAATGAATCGGTATTTTATATCCTACGTTTCTATTCCTTATAATGTTCACGAAGGCAAGCAGGGCCACGCAACGTGCACAAAGAGACTCTTAACCAGAACAGCGACATTTCTTTATTGAAGGTAGACGTTTCTAAATGGCGTTGGCGACACCTAGAACAATCCCTCGGGATATAAAAGGAAATGATATAACAGCTAAACAGCCGAACCTTTTTCATGTTTACACACTTCCGTGTCCACTCAACTAGTTTGATAGAAAAAATAATTCGTAAAAAATTTATAAAACGCAAAGTACATCTACATAAAAAGTAGGTCATTGATGACCTTCCAGATAGCGTTGGTGATACTAAAGCCAGTTCGTGTATTTCAGAGTACAAAATGCCCGAAATGAACTATATTACGACAAGTTCCAACCATACACAATGTCAAGGAAGAGCATCATAAAAACTAAATGAAAAGCGAGGTACATTTCCGTCAAAAGTAGGTCATTGATGACGTTCCAGATAGCGTTTGTGATACTAAAGACACCTCAGAGTACAAAATGCTCTAATGACAATGCAAAGTAACAAAATTACGACGAAATGGTGTTGACATAGCGTTTGTGAAGAGGTGTCTTGCTTGCTACAGAGAAGAGTTAACCCTTCTGTATTATTAGTAGTTTCTGTTGAAGACACAACCTTT